CATATCCATGTCAGGGCTTGACATGGATCTCACACAGCTTTGGATGCCCTACCTGCATGACTGATTTCCAGCTTTCTCTTTTGATTTGTTTTCTGTTGCTCTTTGGTTTTGCAGGGAAAATAGAGATCAGGTCTCTGGATGTTAGTAGGGCCAGCCTGGAAGGCACTGTGTCAGCCAAGTAGTTCTGCTCATGCTGTTTTATTCATGGATTCATGAAGGCTCTGCTGCCTTCACTTGCTATTGCCACAGGGGGCATTTGAAACCTATCCTTGACAGGCCTCAGTGTTAAGAGGAGTAAAAGCAGCTTTTGAGAGCTAGTGCAAGGGCCGAGGGAGGGAATGGACTCTTCTATATACCGCATGGAGTCCCTTAGTATTTCTGTGTCATTCCACAGCTCTCTATTGCATGGAGGGGTTTTTGTTTGTTTGTTTTAGGTTTTGTGTTAAGGAAAAGGCCATTCTTTGAACCTTGGCTTTCACACATGCTGGTTCTTCTCTTGGAAATGATGGCTTGCCTCTGAGCCGCCTCAGTCTGTCAAGCATAGGAAGAGACAGGGAAGCCAGGGGACAGCTGGGCAGACTTCACGAGGCATCTGTCACATCAAATCACCCAAGCTTCCTGAAGTGGGTCACTAACTCAGCTGGAGTCCACAGTGATACACACGAGGTCCGTTCAGCCTTCAGGCTAGCTCTGGCATGTGCAGGCAAAAGGGAAGTTGTGGGGAAGAGGAGCATCTGCGGGGCTGTGGTTAGCTCAGGATGACACTGTACATGGCTAGGATGTGCCCTTTGCAGCCTTTTGGAACTGGAAGGGTTCTGGGCAAAGAAATGGGGAAAACCTTTTTGGCCTTGCTTCATGTCAGGTGCTGAGGACTAGTATTACAGCAGTCTGGACACTTCAGAGACCATGCAGGAGGAAGGCCAGTATGCAGCGACCTTTCAGTTTCCCCAGGTCCCAGGATTATATTTCATTAAGTGAACTTCTTAGTTCCAGTGCCAGGCAGCTGCCAGCTTTGGGGGTCTTATCAGACTCTGGGGCTGCGGAAAACTTTTATGACCCCGTTTCTTCAAGATTAGCATTGCCTCTGTATGCCCATGCCACTAAACTCTGTAGGAAGTTGCTTCTGAAAGTATTTGTGTCTGTAGGAAGCAGCCACCAGCTCAGTTAAGCACAGACTGGTTCTTTGCAAATTTTCTTTATCTTCCCTCTTTTCCAGCCCGAGTAAAGTCCACATCTTGTGCGTGGCAATAGGTGGGCCTTGGAATAGTTCATCCCCTCTGAGTTCCTATTAATCATGCTTCCAACTATTACTGTTACATGAATAATGATTACTGATACTGGTTATTCCTTCACTTTTATTAAGTGACATTTTTGTTTGCATTTTACTAGATGGCTTATTGGCTTTAGTTTTGTTCATATAGTAGCTTCTACTTTCCTGTCAGCACCAACTTCATTGCCTGGGGTAGTGATTTTTGGCTGTTCAGAAGTGAATATATGAAAAGGTGTCCATTTAATTATAAGTATCTCAGGATAAATTGCCTGCATGCTCAGCTGAAGAGGTTGTTCCTCACTGCAAATTATCTTTCCTGCTGTGTGTCCATTTTCGCTGAGAAGAAGGTGGGACTTCGTTCTGCACTAGCATGTCTGTCTTTATTATCTTTCCTGCTGTGTGTCCATTTTTGCTGAGAAGGTGGGACCTAGTTCTGCACTAGCATGTCTGTCTTCTTACCCTCATTAGGCATTTATGCTTTTTTCCTTATGTGCAGGAAGAGGATTTTTGTAAGAAATCTAAACTCTGACTTTAAAAGAAGCACTCTGTAAGCAGTGGAAATAATAAATCTTAAAGTCCTGTATATTTGGCTCTTCCCAGATGAATTCCTTGAGGTCTGGTAGGGTTTTCATGGTTGGATAAATGTGGTGATATGGAATCCTTGTGTGGGTTCCCATATATCTAAAAGGAAAATGAGTTGATTGAGTTTTCTCTCCAGAGATCCTCATGTAATAGGAACTAATTTTTCTATCTGTCTGCCTATTTCCAGTATAATTGTTAGAACTTGAAACTGCTGCTTTCTGCCAAATTTGGTAGAAATTGACCATTTGGCTTTCAAGTTATTAGGTGAGAGCAGACAGGAAGATGTGAGCACAGAGCACGTTTGTCTCATTTCTTTAGCAAGCCAGGCTCAGAGGTGTAGTTATGAAGTATACCTTTTACCTTGTTGGTCTTCCAGGGTGGATGAAATATAAAGCCATCCATGCAGACAAACAAGGGATGGAATAGCTTTCAATCACAAGCTTGCAGTAGATTAAAACAAACAGCTAAAAACTGGAAGACTTCGGCATCTTTTAAACTTGTGTGTGTGCGCTGAGCGCCTGAGTGTTTTCACCCCATTAGGTAGAACCTGCTAGGCTTGCTTATAATGTAACTTCTATAATGTGCCTCCTTAATCTGTTTGCAGCAGCTTCCTGCTCAGATCATGAAAGCATCTGGACTTCCAGTAACGTGCACTTTCAATTAAGAGTATTTGTAGATCAGTTGGGTATAGGGAAATAGTGTTGCCCGACTTCTATGACTCCCCGATTTGTACACTGGAGTCGCTCCGTATCTGCTTGTACTGCCTTCCTTCCTCTTGTGGAGATAGGATGCCTGTTGCTTTGCCCTCCAAGAGCCTGCAGCATTCCCAATGCATCCATTCCACCTCACTCTGCCTCCCGCTGTCGTTGGCTGAGGCCTGCTGTGCTGAACACAAGTCTGTTTTTCAGTAACTGTTGTTCCCAGAACTCAGCAGGCTGAAAGGAGGTGAAAAGCAGATAAACACCAGAGTTCAACAACCGGCCGAACACAGCAGAGCACACATGTTATGTCCACCCGCAAATCAGATAGATTAGAAGAGGTTCCTGCCCTAGGACTCAAAGCAGACTCAGGCAGGACAGCACCAGTATGAGGTGAGTGCAGTTACAGGGACCTTTGCAGGTTTTCTGGCAACTGGCTTTGCACAGGCCTCAGGAGGCAAGTGTGATTCTTATCTTTTCTAGCTTTTACTGCAGCACGACTCCTTTTGTACCTCTTGATCTGAGCTGACACTCACCCTTTCTCTGTTACTCTCTTGCTCTGAGGCAGGCTGCTCCTTTTGTTAGCTACCTTTTGCAATGCAGTGGGCAGCAACATCGTGCTGCAGAAAATGTATGGGAGGATCACGTCCCCTGACTTTCCAAATGTCTACCCAAACCACAAGGAGAGAATCTGGAATATTACTGTCCCCAAGGGATATTCTGTCCGCATCTACTTCACTCACTTCAATTTGGAGCTGTCCTACTTATGTGAATATGATTATGTGAAGGTATGTGCATAGATGTGTGTGTATGTGACAGGTTAAGTTCTTTAAAACTGCGTGTATGTGATGCTGTTCAGGACCAAAATAACAGTTGTAAGCTGTAGGTTTCAATCAGCTAGTAAAGTTCAGGCTCAGTTGATTTATAAAGGATATGTTTGCTGAGGCCCACAGCACCAAGAGACTGTCAGGTTGAAATATCTGAAACTTAATTTTTTTGATGTCAAGAAAATGTTGGTCATCCTGTCTCATAAAGGAAGAAGATTGAAATTTTGCCCACAATAATATTTGCGAATGCTTCACTTAACAGGCTTACTCCAAGAGCTTCATTTGATAGTTACAGTGTGTGATTTAGGCTAGCATTTAGTGATGTACACAGAACATAATGAGAGATTATAAATGTGTAAGTCATAGTCTAAACAAGATACTAAGCTTGTCAAAAGGTACACTTGCTACATGCTTTTGTTAGCTAATGTGGGGAATAATGGCAAGAAAAAGAGATACTGGCTTTTGGAAATGTTTGAAAGGTTTGTATTCCACATACTAGCGTGTGCTCTGGCCTAGACAACTTGATAATTTTAAGCCGCATAACCTGTACTCATTTTATGGTTTAAACACTGCATCAACAGCACTTTTGAACCTTGTAGAGCCAGGTCAGACAGCTTTGTTCCCCTTTGAGATGATCTGGCTTCTGTGGTTTAACAGGGGAAAGATGCTTCTGTTTCCCCTAATCCACGTTGTTGTTCTTCTCATTTTCTTTGGGCAGATCAGAGTACTTATTTTGATAGAGTTGTTATACCCACAGTTTTATCACTACCATGGACTACATGAATTCCATGTATCAGAACATTTATCTTGTACTAAAATAATATAAATGAAGGGCAGAGACTGGAATAAGTGAATCATAGAGCATGTGAGTCATTAGTTTAAAAAGCTTTTTATTATACGTTTGAAGCTGTTAGTGCATTAAGACTTTTTACCTCATTTGTCTTCGATTTTTGTCTTCAGTCAAGTCTCCTACACACTAAGATCTGACCATCTTTGAGAGGACAAGTTTGAGGAGCAAAATGTACAGAAAACAAAGCATGGTGCTGGTAGCCCAGGCTGACCTCACCGCTCTGTGAGGCTTCTGAAAGAAAGAAGGGAGACAAAATTATAGACTTAAGTCACAGAGGACAGGGAAATCCTCTTTTACATGTCACTGGGTCTGGATTGACCTCCAAAAGCCACTTCTGAGAGCATCCAAGTGTGGAAGTATCCCAAGCTTCCTTTCACACACCCACAAACGCATGCTTTCCAGAGGGCATGGAAAAAAGGCTTATTCTGGTGTGCTGGCATCGTGGGATGGAGGTGCAGGAGGGGAAGTTTGTCAGGACTTACTGCCCTGATGTCAGTTTGCATTTCAGACATCTTTGTGCTAGCATGCCATGGTGCATGCAGCTGCTATCCTTGAGCAGGGTGGATGAGCATGGTCAGACCTCCTTTGCCATATCCCGTATAGGGATCTTGTGGAGCACTGGCCACAAACTGAACAAATTGAGCAAGAATTTCTTCCCCTTGCATGGCAGCCATGGCAGAGGTTAGGGAGAGCAAAGCTGCATGGTGAGTTGATTGCCTTGTCCGTGTGCTTTGCAGCTGAGCTCTGGTGGGAAGACCTTGGTTACACTATGTGGAAAGGAGAGTACAGACACTGAGGAGGCACCAGGCAACAAGACATATGTCTCTGTTGACAACAGCCTCATGGTGACGTTTCGGTCTGATTACTCCAATGAGAAACCGTTCACAGGCTTTGAGGCCTTTTATGCTGCTGAAGGTAAGAGACTAGCCCCTCTTTGTAGCTGGAAGAGCCCCAGCTGTGGTGGGGTTGTTGCTGCTTTGGGCCAAGTCTTGGCTGTTGGTGTTGCTCGTATGGTGAAGAAAAAAAAGGAAACAGCCACCAAAAATAAGCCAAACTCACTGTAAACAGGAGTGGCTCAGGCCAGACACAGTGTTGTTAAAGTTGTCAGTTGCCTAACGTTGCTGTATTTCACTTGCTAGATATTGACGAGTGCAAGCAGCTGTATGACGGCGAGCCCCTCTGCAATCATCACTGTCACAACTACCTGGGGGGCTACTATTGCAGCTGTCGCATTGGCTACACACTGCATGCAAACAAAAGGACATGCACAGGTGAGCCTCTGCTGCGCCGAGAGATGCTTTCCTACATGCAACACCCACTTAGATCCAGTGCAGACAGCCTCAAGATTGAGGCTGCTTTTTTTGATGTTGTTGCTTTTAACAGCCCTTGTAGACCTTGTGTGGTTAGAAGGACACGCAGAGGGTTGGTCAGGGCTGTGAGCAGAATGTCTGGTTTGTAGAGTGCTTTTCAGCTGATTGTTGTTCTTCAGGATGCTGTATGTCACAATAAAATGGTGTGTTGGTGTGTGGCAGGTTCAGAAGAGAAGCCAGGGACTGGCAGGGTGTGAAAGAAATTGCTTTTGGTCACTCTTTAGGCAGCATCCACCTGCGGGTAGGCTTTAGAGAGGTTGAATGGAAAAGAAGAAACTTGTTTTCCAATGCCCAGTCCAGGTGCTTCAAGCTTCAAGGCTGCCAGTGCTAACAGGGCTGGCTGCACGACATATCCTCTGCCTACGGAATACTGAGCATTCTGGACCTGAGTTAGTAGATGAGTTGGAAAGACTAACAAGTTGCCAAGTCAAATGGAGAAAGAGTTTGCTTGTTTTTCCCAGGGGAACACAGACTGGGAAGCAATACAATCCCCATATTGCTGACACCAGATACAGTCATCCACTCATTAAGTGGGAGGCAAGGCCAGGCACAGCTCTGTTGCTCAGGAGGGCACGCAGCGTGAAGTGTGCCTGGGTTATTCCTGTCTGGCTCCGCTGCTCTGTGCCCACCTGGGGAAAGCAAGCTTAGCTGTTGGCAGGTAGCAGGTGTCTGTCTGAATCAGTGCAATGATCGACACCTCAGGATTCACTTTATCTGTAGCAAGCATGTGCAAACACATGGTGCTGGATTCATCCTTGATGAGTACAGCTCTGCCCACCTGGAGTTGAATCCTGTCTGGAAAGAACCAGCACTCTTAACTGCTCACTAAATATTGTCAAAGGTAGCAGCGCTTTCTTTGAGCTCCCCAGTGCCAAAAGGCACAGTTGGATGTTGTTTCTACTGCTGAAGGCCACCTTGGCATTCACTGTTTTAAACACTCTCCAACCTTGGCTGGCTGGTTCTGATTCAGGATTGAAATTCTGTTTGCATCTCCAGTGTTAGACGCATTTGCTGTTCAGCCTCCCCTTCCTAGTGCTGGCTTTTAGCAGAAGCAGTAGGTGAGTTTATTAGGCTCTAAAGCTCTTCATGCAGAGGTGCAAAGCAGTGGCTGTGAACTGGCCACTCTGCTCGCAGGGCCCCGTTGTGTGGGGTTGTGTCCCCGCTGCGGTGCACACAGGGCAGCGGAGGGAGCTCCTGGGCAGGTCTGTGCTGCTGGGTAAGGCAGGCACAAGGGGAGTGCGGTGGGGCAGCTGCTGGGCTGGAACTTGCTCGTATCAGAGGCTTTCATGTGCAAGCAGTGAAGCTGGGCTGAGAAAAGCGAAGTTCTCTGTAAATCACCTCCATGAGATGGGAGCCAAAAATCAAAAATTTGACCTCATGTGAGTAGGCTGACATTGACAGGCTTCTTTTTTCTTTCTCCTCTATTTTCCAGCATGAGATAATTACGCTTCTCACTTTGGCAGAGGTGGAAATACGGGCTGGGAAGAGCTGGTTTGTCCTCCCTCCTGTCCCGCCGGTAGCTGTCGCAGTCCATGAGAGTCCAGTCTGCACTTGCTCTGTACCTTGTATGTCTTTGGGTTTGTTACCTTTCAGATCTGCCTCAAGGAGACAATAAAGAGGCTGTGCGTTGTTGAAAGCTCATGGCATCCTCTGGGGTGTTCGTTTTCTTGCATTTCTCTGGAAAGAAAAATGTAAATAAGGCAGAGAGGGAGAAGAAAGAAGCCAATGTGAAGGGCCCCAGAGCATCACTTAGATCCAGCTCTTCTGCTTGACTGTTCTGGAAGGCTCCAACTAGAACACAGCACAAACTATGCATTTGTTCCCTCCGTATTCCTTTTAGATAAGTTCTTGTCTGCTCCCGCATTTGTATATTGAACCTATTTATACTCAGGGCCTTTCCCTGTCGGGAAAAGTTTGAATTTTTTTCTGAATTCTACTTTCGTGACTCTGGCCATATATCCACCTTTGAGTTCCTTGCCTTGTTGCTAAAATTCATTCTGGTGAGTCTCCAAGTTCAGTAAAGTCCTGAAAATATCAGGGAAAAAAAACAGCTTAGGAGAGGCCTGATGTCTCGCCTTTGTGGAGGGAAAGCAACAGTGTCCTCCCCAGAACAGACACAGTGCAGGAATACCCTTCTTCAGTGCAGCTGTTTGTGGCACTGACGGATCCTTTCCCAATGCCTCAGGGCCTTTCCTGGCTCTATATCTGTACCCATCTGCTGTTCCGTTGAAATGTGCCCGTTTTGAGGCAGGGAGCATCTTGCAGTGGGCTGGGAGAGCACCAAGCTCGGTGCTTGTCAGTGACTAGAACCCCCAGCCCCAGTGGAGCTAACGTGATGATAATTGCAAGTAGGAGGTTAACAAGGCAGAGCTGAGCAGCTGCAGGTGAACTACTATAAACCAGGCTTTGTTTAAAAAGCTCAAGGGATTAAGGATCATTAGTCAGTGAACATCCCTTTATTTCTGCAATTTAATAGGAGTTGCTTTAATTATCATTTATGAAGCTTCATTTTTCCAACCTCATCTCTGCTCTTCAGCACCTGGATTGTAAATGGGGGCAACGTTTCTCCAAGTGAACGTGGGAGGCAAGATGGATCTTGTTGGTGAGATATTTAACTCGCTTCAGGTCACTGTGTTTGCAAGCTTCTGTGTCACCTTGGACAAGTGACTTGATACCTTTCCTTTGAGCATCTGTCTGTGAACTGGAAGGTAATATCACTGCTTTGTCTTACTGGGAAAGATGCTTAGTAAGACCCACAGAAGGCAGAGGCTGCAGAGAACTGATTTGGGGATGGAGTGGCTGTGCGGGTGATTGCTGAGACTTATTCCTCCTGTATCTTGTTTGGAAGCTGCTTCCTGGTCACAGTAGATTTGTGATCAGAGCATGACTGAGTGATGTGATTTGTGACCTGCCTTTCATTAGGGACCTAATGAGCCAGTAACAGTGGGCTTGCAGGTTTTCAGGGGGTCATTTTTCAGAGTTCAAGTCTCTGGCAAACAGCTTACTATGATTATAATAAAATGCAACCTAAGCATAATTGAGCACTCTTTGGGCAGCATTAAAGCTTGGACTAAGAAGTCTGACAGTATAAAAGCTGGGAGATGGTGGAAATTATTTAATCCTTTTGTGCTGGCTAATTTATGATTTTCTTGCTTGCAGACCTGGGGAAAAAATATTGCTCTGATAAAGGGAGCTCTCTATGCCTGCATCCAGGAGGTATTCAGGGGAAAAGGGCCCAATATAAGCTGTTTCATCTTCAAGCTGCAAAATCCCTGGAGTCTAGCACAGAGTATCTTCTGTCAGGTCAGCTGGTTTTTGCTCCTGTGGCTACAAGTCAAGAGAGTTTATTGGTGATGACTCATATTTTCCCAAACTGTGTTGTAAAAATCTCCTGTCAAAATTACAAAACTGAGCTCGAAGGGGCCAGATGTAATGAAGCATGAGGAGCTTAGTCTCTTTAGTCCTTCAAAACAAGGTGAAGGCCCCTTCTCTAATACAGCAGTGCACTGTTCTTACCATGTGTTCTATGAGAATGTATAGGACTGCTGGCATGGTGGTACTTGTTGGTGCATAAGCACCAGGTGGATGATCACTGCCCTGTAGAACTGCTCCCTAACACCTGGTCTCTGCTTTAAGGAGGCAGCTCGGAGCAGTTCTGCTGTGTGGGCATTGGCAGGATCGGACTGAGGATCCCCCAAGTCTGATGTCCTGCCTTTGACATGGGCCAGCATCGTACATGTCAGTGGAAGACATAATTCAGTAAGTGATTTTAAGTGTTCCGCCTCATAGAAGCGTAGATATGGTGCAGTATAGCTTGTGTTGTCTATATCTTCCATAGCTTATGGTGAATTTATGACACTAGCTATAAGATAAATAAATGTGTATGTAGAAATACTAAGCTTAAAATTTTTATTTCATGTAGCAGCAAGTTGCACAGAATAATTTTATGCCATTTCTCAATCCTTTGTATCAGATTTGTATTCTTTGGCCCTAGATCTCATTAGTGGTCCCTTTTCCCTTTTGGTGTAAGAGAAAGTAAACATCCTTTGGAAACTGTAGTGGTAGGTTATATGTAGTGTTTCTCTGTGTCTGCAGACTTAAATATATTTTTGTGTGTGTGTGCATATGCTTTCCCACACAGTGGCCTTTTCACCATTTCTCTATTAGATGGTTTTATGCTGAAATTTCATTTAATGAAATTCCTTTAAACTTATGGTTCAAAATGAAGCTAAGGTGGTAATTATGGTAGGGTATAATGAATAGATGCCAAGGTGATGTTCCCTTCTACCTCTGAGGTTATTACAACAGCACTGGAGCTTGTCTGCCTAAGTATTGCTTGTGTACAGAGTAGCTCTGCACCCTGGGAAAAACTGCTCAGCAGGGAGTAAGGAAGGATTCTGATGCAGAGTTAACAGAAAACTGGAGATTTTTAACTTCCTAATGATTGCAGCAGGGAACTACGGGTGTAAATGCAGTGCTCATTAAATTGTGGCTCATATGGGTGAAACTTCATGCTGAGTCTTTATCCACACCCAAGGATTTTTTATTTTCGTTCCTGTCTTTTCCTATAATTGCCTCAGACTACCCTATAGGGCTGTGCAACAGGGGTATATATTAGTTATGTGAGAAAATCTCAGTCTTTAAAGGAGAGATTTTTTTTTTTTCCTCCAGTACCTCCTTGGGAGCCCCAGCCTGCTAAGGCTGCCTAAGGAGCAGGTTCTGGGGGCGGTTCTTAGCCTGGCCTTGCAGCAGAAGGAAGGAACCATTTGAGTGGGGTCGCGCAGCCCGTGAGGAGGCCGCGAGCTCGGTGCGTCAGAGCGGTGCTGTAAGCAGCACCTGCAGCAGCTCAGGAGAGCGCACCGAAAAACAGGCTTTATTCTCACATCGCCATCAAAAGCCACCGTACTTTGAGGCACGGTCTGAAATTAAAGAACATGCATTTAGCTGGGAAGGATGAGGTAAAAGCAATTAAGGAAAAAACCCACTCACTGATAATCTTCTACAAGTGTAGCACAAAAGGAAAAGATTTAATTTCCATTGTAGCTCAACTGATTTTTGCTGGTGTAAAGCGGTGTGCTATTAAGCTAGATTAGGTAGCCAGAACCTCCAGGTGAATTAGTGACGCTTTCTCTGCTACTTTGAACATTTCAAACAGCAGTTAAAAATGGGGAGACTGTTCAGCTTCACAGGATAGGACTTTATAATGTATGTTTTAACTGTTTTAGGTTATCTTTCAAGCAGAGCTGACAAAGATAGAGATTAAGACAATGAATTCAGAATAGAGCACAGGCAGATGTGGCTTGTGTGTAAGTCACTGTGCTGATGGTAGGTTTATGTCAAATAAAAGCAATTGTTCATAGTTGCGTGGGAAGATGGGCAGAGAGATAGTTTTAAAATTTTAACTTGTGCTAAAAGAAACCTAAATACATCATTACTTCTATTGTGTTACTGTAGGTATGCTAAGAGCCATACAAATATAAAGCAAAAGGATGATCCCTTTCTCCTTTTTCCTTTCCTTTCCAAGGAAATGATCATGTTGGAATATTTCCTACAGCAGCAAGTGGGTCCATTCTATAGATGTAGGACAGAAACAGGATTGAAGCAAAAGCTTAGAATCTTGGATAGCAAAATCCAAAGGTTTAGCTAAGAGTCAGTAATGTTCATTTTATCATTCACAACTCAGACCCTTTCCATTAATATCGCAACCTTAAACCCTATGGTCTATTTTAGATGATAATCTGTAATTAATGACTGGAAAATGGCATTTTCATTGATGGAGGTTAGCATGGTGTGTTTGAGGATACAATTCCAAGTCAATTTCCCTCTTGCAATTAATTTAGCATCACAGTAGTGCAAAATATGCCAGTGTTATCAGCCAGTCTAGCATTCCCCATCAATTAAAGGATTGCTCATAGAGCTTTTGCAGCACATTATAAAACCTTTGTTCCCAGCTGATCAAAGCAGCACTTCACAGTGATCAGATGCTGTCAACAAGCAGAGATCCTCAGGGCACTTGTGGCAGTTCCTTCTTGCTTCTCTTCAGCAGGGAGCGTTTGCGGCTCCGATTGTGTTGGCAAGAGGCACAGCTGGTTTTGCTCAGAGAATACAATTAGGTTCTAAATGTCTGGCAACGATAGTGTTATAGAGAGATGCGTTCAGAGGCTTCTGGAATTGAGAAGCTGATAGCTATCCTTGGTACTCTGTGCGCTCTGGTACAGCAGACAGGCTGCAAATTTAACACCTCAGAACATTTCTGATAGCTTCCAGACATGCTCATTTCTGACCTCCAGTCCTGTGACTGTTAAGATGATGCTTTTCCACACCGTCCTTCGCTGCACCACTTGTGAGATAGGAACATAAGTAGCTGTTGCATAATGCTGGTGCCCTAATCCTTCCACAACAGAGACAGGGCAACTTTCTCAGCAATGAAATGTGTGAGACTTTCAGTGAGGCGTTTAATCTGTGGCTCCAAAGCTTCCTTTAAGGGATAGACCAGTGTAGAAAAAAATCCACTACCTTTACATAGTACAGGTGGACAGAGTTAATTAAGCTATGATCATTTCTGTTGTTTTTCTTCTAGACCAGTGTCAAGAATCTATTTCTCACTAAAAGAACTGACAGAGCCACCAGCCCTGATTATCCAAAAGTATCCTTGTGCAGCTACAGTATCCAGGTGGATCACGATGGAATTTGTGGAGACCTTTAATGTGGAAAAACACCCAAAGAGTTGTGTCCCTTTGAGGTCCTGAAGGTAAGCTGAGGTTTTACTGCCTTTCATCACAGCCTTTGTGAGAGAGGACCAATTCTTTCTTTTACTGCGTACTTCTCAGACTGTGTCTCGAATCACTCATTTGCAGATGTATCTTCCAGTGTGTCTCCTCATTCATTTCTTCTTCCCCTTATGCCCTCAGAAGTTTTGTTTTTTATTCTTTATTCACTGCTTTACTCTTTCGGGAAATTCACCTCAACACAAAGACAAATTTACACATATGTGTGGTGATTTGAAAGGTTTCCAAGTTTTATTCCATCCTTAAACTAGTGATGCCAAGAGAATCAGGTAAATCTTTTGGATTCACTTTTCTATCTGTAAAAGAGACCCGATGTTTACTTCCTAGGAATTGCAAAGCACTGAGGATGCTTGGATATAAGGTACTCTGCGAGTGATGAGCCAGCACCTTAACCACCTTTGGAAGAAAGCACCATACAAGTTTACTTACTTAGTGGGGAGAGGCATTGTATTAAAATTAGTATGTTCTTCCATAAGCTTAGTGAGGGAAAAAGTTTAAAAAAAAAAAAAAGAAAGAAAAAAAAAAATGACGTCTCTTTCTTTTCAGATTAAAATGTGCCAAAGTTTGGCCCATTCTGTAGAAAGACTTTGCCTGCAAAAATGAAGACACAACAGTATCATAAATATGGCTTTCAGGACTGATATCTCTGGAGCATGCACTGCTTAGAAGATGAAACACACAGCAGAAGGTAGGTACAAGGTCTCTTTTTAGTGCTTGGGTCCAGACTACTCCCAGAACTGCATTCTGGAAAGGTCTGAATAGCAACCAAGTAGATAAACAGCAATTTCATACTTAGTTTTCAGTGTTGTGCCTACTAAGCACTGCAGTAGTTTACATACTAAAGCAGAGTTTAGGAGAGTTCCAGTACAAGAGCTGATCTTACAGGTCATCTCTGTTTCAGACAGAGATTGTATTTTAGGGAGCAAGTTTCCTTTGGGTTGGTAGGGGTTCTGGTGTGTGTTTAGGCAACAGATCTACTGGGCTTGTCCTGCCCACATAACCAGAGCAGCCAGCAGGGAGCTGCACACCGTTGATGGGAGAGCAACAGTGAGTTTGCAGTGTTCCCTCTTACTCTGAGTAGCTGTAGATTGGTGTCTGTGTGAGTGAAACAGTGCAGAGAGGAGTTGGAGATGGGGTGGAGGGGTTCTTATTTGTTTTCTTTTCCCATAAGAACATTTAGCAGTAAATAATGAAGTGACTCTGGAGGGGACTTCCCTGATGTGCTGCGGCTTTGCCGTGCGCCAGTCCTGAAGCACCACCGCATGGTCGCACCCCTCCAGTGCAAGCACCCTGCATTCTGAGCAGCCCTGCACTGTCCTCCTGCTAGAAGTAGGTGACTCTCAGCCTTACCGGACTTAATTTCTCAGGGATTAAACACAGAGGTGCCATTTCTCATTACCAGCTTGTGTTGCTCACTATAATTACGAGGCATATTCAGTACTCTGAATTTGTTAGCAATTGTCTTTCCTTTGATATCCCCCTCAGAGAATTATGTTTCTGTGTACATATGCCAGTGCTGATGCTCTTTGAACATTACTGCTTAGAGATTTGCCTGTAATTAATGTTGGAAGAAAAGAATGATTTTACAAAAGATTTTAGTGTTCCACAAGATCAGTGTAGCAAGAATTTTTAATGTTCTTTCATTTGTTACTGCATCCCTCCAGGGAAGTTAAAACTTGGGTCATGCCTGCTGAATGAGCATTTCACATTCAGTTTTTAATAGCATTCTGCTTCTCCATAAGCTGTTTTGGAAGATAATCTCAGCTCTGTGTGTTTACAGCAAAATTTCCAGATCACAGATAGGCCTTTGTGTTTTAAAAGGAACACAAACTTAGCAAGCAGTATAAAAGCACACTATCATAACTGTATTGTACTCTTAATTTTATCTACCACAATTATTTTCTCATCTAATTTGATAGTTACACAAACAGCAAGTGTGTGTAACTTAGAAACCCAGAACCACCAAACAGATGTGAGGCTTAGTATTTAAGAGGATATGGTATGAAAGGTATGTGTGTATGGAAATAGATTCGGGGGGGCTGTCCTCTAGGTTTGGGTTTTGCTGCTCTGTGCCATCTTTCCTGGCGGATGAGTGCTGGAACTGCTACGTGAACCCCTGGCCAAGTGCATCAGGAAGTCAAATGCTAATATTTGCAAATAGGAAAATCTCATAAAGCAGTAGTCTTATAAAGCCAGTGACAGAGGTGGCAGTGTGAGAAGTATCTTCCTTTTTGCAAGGTAATTGTGCCTGCTTGTCAAAGCACATTCTGTATTTATAGTATGTTTTAATTTCTGCTGTTCTTTAAAAGTAACAATTTTAATAGCACTTTTTCTTGTTTCTCTTTTAGTATGTGTAAGTTGATGAAGAAAAACAAACACCTGTTTCATTATAGTGTTTGGGGCTTTTTTGGTAACTCATTTTCCACAGGGAAAATGAAGGGCCTAAAATTTTATGATACCCACAGTTTGGCTGCCACTCCTTAGAGCTGGTTTTGTTTTCATCTCTTAAATTGTTTACCCTTTAAAAGATGTCTTGTCTTATCTGAAGTTCTCCACTGTTGTTGGCATGAGAGATTAAAGCCAGAAACTCATCTGTTTTCCTTGGAAACAGTAAAAAAGCTGTCTCTAGCTTATTTTATTTCCTTCTTGAAGAAGCAATTTCATAAATGACTCTCTTACTGCCTTTTAAGTGTTTGGCTCTGGTGCTGGCAGAACAGTTAAACTGCTCCAGCAGCATTTGAAGAGAGACCTTTACTGCAGAGTACTAGTTTGTGGGATTTCATAATTCTAAAAGACTGACTAGGGGAAGAAACACTTCACAGTTTAAAAGCCTAATTGTTAATTGTTCCTCTTATATTTTAGATTAGAGTGCCTCTATATTCCAATTGCCCTAATTTACATTCAGAATAAATACACTTGCTTCTCAGAGCCCACATTCCTTGGCAAAACTGTGCCTCTTAATTACAGAACTTTCAGAAAGCCTGCATGTTATACTGACTAATGAAAATTGTACTCTGTATCAAACAGATTCACTCGCAAGCAATTTTACTATCCCAAAACAATCTAGGAATTACATTTAGGCTTATTAACCTATTTTTTTTTTTTTTACCCATGAGAGTTTATCCGAGAGGTAACGTTCTTCACTGCATTTATTGTTTTGCAGTTTGTGGAACATGGAAAAAGAATGCACATGTATAGATGGAGGAACAAGAGCCAAGCCTGGAGAATTTCCCTGGCAAGTGATGGTAATTACAGAGCATGGAGGATTAGGAGGTAGTTGGCTTTTGTGTGACAACTGGGTTTTAACAGCTGCTCGTGCTGTAGTTGATCAAAGAAATGCCTTAGCTTTGAGGATTAAATTGGGGGGTTCAATCAGACATTCTATTCACTATGAACAAGCCTAGGCACAATAAATTTTTATTCCTGAAGGTTATAGAAATGGTCTTGTCCGTTTTAACAGTGATACTGCCTTAATTAAGCTGCAGCATAAATTCTCAATTAATTAGTATGAATATTGCCTACCTTCTTGTTGACCAGGTAAAGAAGAAAGATTGCAAATGAGAACACGTAATGCATGAGGTGGATCTAGTTTACTACTGTTTCTGCTTGATGACTACTCTATTCAGTATCGAGTTTACAGCTGCATATGCAAATAAATCACGTAGTGGAAAACCTCTCCTGCTACCAGAGAACAGGCCCTGTGCTGGGGTGGAGAGGGACCAAACACACTTGTCACAGGCACCAGGGAACACGATTTGTTTCCTTAGATGCCCAGCCCTGCACTTAACTTCTGTGTTAAGTGTAGGCACAGCTGTAGAGCTGAAGGACTTGTCAGCAGCAAAACACCAGAGTTTTATATAGAATAAGCTTTCACCTTAAAATGTATTAACAGAGAATAAAAATACAAGCTTTGTCAGTACATCACCTGACAACAGATCATCAGGACTAATAAAGCTCCTATAAAACGTATTTTTACTAAGCATGCCCAAAGTAAATATATCCCCTTATTTTGTAAGATTCTCATTTTTTGCATCTTACTTCCACTATTAAGGTAAATCTAGAAATTCAAGTACAGAATATGAAATCTTTTTTTCTTTTTTAAAAAAGAGACTCAACACTTGCATATGGTGTCAATAGTATTTTATTTACTTATAAACACTAGAATATGCAAAGCAGTTAAATATTACTAAAATTTGAAAATACTTTCAAGACTTTGGGGAATTGCGCTCGAGAGTCAGGGTACACTAAAATTATTAGCGCAGACTACTCAGTGCTGCCAACCAGCCTCTTAAGACCTAAACCTGGACTTTTACATAGTTTAAATAAAAATAAAGCCATGCTAATCACAAGAACTTACCATAAAGTTCCTTGCAGGGATGTCACAGTTAGCCTTTGGAGGTCCCAAATATCATTTTTAAGTGTTACTCAGCAGAAGTAGCTGGTAATAGTGCAAGTGCTAAAATGCAAAATTCACAGATGGTACAGAGTTTGGAAATTATTCTGATTTAGGTGCAGAAAAAAAAAATCCAAGCAACTTTTTTTGCAGTGGGATATGAGCAAATGTGTGATTTTTTTTTTTCTCTTGAGTGTTTACAGCCTCTCTTTATACATTTATGATGTGCATGAGACCCACATGTTTTATTAGTAGTGCAATTCAAGGGGAAAACTACTCATAATGCAGTTTTAGCCACTCTTTAGATGCTCTTCTATTCACAAGCCTTAGTATGCAGTCATTGAGATCTGACTTGAAAGTTTAAGAGCAACATTTAAATACACTGTGTAGATACCATGCTCAGAATTCACATGGCTACAGCCTCGTACTATGGTTTATAAAAACTCATCACGCTTCCCAGGGTTTCAAGTCCATGTAGGTTAAATGATTCAAGACCATCCTTCTCTGAGAAGAAACAGCTTCTTGTTTGCAACTTCCAAAAAAGTTTATTACAAGTGCAGACAAGACTTCTGTACATTAGCTAATGCTTTATTTAGCTGAAAAAAAAATCCTCTTGCACCTAGTTGTAAACATGGGTCAATCATTTTCTTCTGGGCTACAAATGCAGCAGAACCAAGCTTCCCTCGAGTGGGCTGGGCTAAAAATACAGTCACAGGTCATTTAAACATACGTCCCCAAAGGAGATGATCTGGACAGAATTACACCTGACAATAAGTGTTTGCTTTCCCCTCTTGTTAATCAAGTCCCACCCCATCTCCACAAAGAAAAAAAGAAAAATAAAAAACAAGAGCAGCCCCCCCAACACACTTTCCTTGGTAAAGATGTAATCTGTAGGGAACTGCTTACCATTCTAGGTGCAGACACCCAAACTTGTGGGAACTGGATTTTAGGTATGTACGTATCACTGAACAGTGCAAAAATACAGTGGATTAAAGGTGGGTGTCAGGTACATGATGGATGGTGGCTCCGTTTGACTTGTCAACTTTTAAAGCATGCTTATCTGAAACAAACTGAATTACTGCAAAAAACTTTACAGAAGTTCATCTCAAAAGGGTAAAATTAATTAACTGCTATGAATTCTTTGCATTCAGGGCTGCAAAACAAAGACACATATTACTTAAATCAGTTTTATTTAAGAATTTCCTACAATGACAAATCTTATTAAAAAGCATCCAAACACAGAACTTCAGCAAACAGCATTCTTATGGATATCTTACAGACAGTGGAACTTACACCCTTAGGAGGCACAGTGAGCTCGCTAGTGATCTCTGCTACAAGAGCTACTGCAAAGCACACCACAAGCTCAATGTTCTCATCACAAACCCCATCATCTTCAGTTCACGTTACCACACTTACATATCGTTAACAGAAAAAAAAAACACACACCATACAGCATTCACAGCAGTTGACATAAGGGAAAAAAAATACAAATATTCATTTCACATAACACATTCAACTAATTGATTAACTAGGTATAAAACCCACTTAAAAGTCTTCCACATGTGGATGTCCTTTGGATGCAATAAACACTCGTACTTTATTTGCTATCATAGCTCTCTGCACACTCTCTCACCAAAGCCACAGGATTGAGAGACATCTCGCCAAGTAAAATAAAATCCCAAAATGCACCACCAGGTCTCTGCACGCGCTCTCTCCTTTATCTCGCACATACCAGCCCTCTCATGCCTCGGCACCACCAGCAATCCCACACAAGGTTTCAAAAGTTCAAACAGCCTTCTGGTTCCATCTCACAGCCTTGCGTTCATAGCGTTGATACGACTCCATGAAATAAAGAGTAGCGGATAAAAATGGAACACCCACCGTCTAAGACGCAGCATGTGATGAAGTATTCTTGGATGAGAAAGCATGTAGACAGAAGTATTCCTAAGGCAGAGTATTTACAGCACTGCTTTCAATGAAGTGCTTCTTCCATACACATTTGAAATGAGATGAACTGTGGAGATTAAATGAAGCCTTCATATCATACTTTAGTATGAGGGGAGACAGTGTTAAAAAGAAAAATAAACAAAAATGACACTGTGTTCTCCAACTGGGGCATTTGGAGAGTCTTATGGTGGGGATCAAATTAAAAACAGGAGGGAGAGAATGCTGTTTCTGACCAATGGTTTCCATTTTGAACATGCAAAGAATTCAGATAGCTGGGAAACAAGGGATAAAATTTTACAGGAGAAACCTTTCCTATCAATTGTAGTGTTGGTTTACCCCTCAGGCAAACAGTAGTCCACTTCCAAACATTCAATATTCCAACAAATTATGTAACAAAACTTATAAAATTCCTTTAACCTTTCTTTTTACAAAAGAAAATGTCAAAAATACTGTTGAATATACTGCACATTGAACAAACTGATTTGGAAAACTTTAGTATATATGTAATTTACAGTATACTTACCATGAGTTAGAAAATTTTGATTTCCCACCATAGAGTCAGTATCAGAGCCCACCGTGTCTACATTCCCCAGCCTGACGACTTGGAATCCATACTCGAACCAAAGCCTCCGTTAAACCCGCTGCTAGAGCCTGCATTCGATGCCGAACCCCAGCCTATCGCTGCCCCAGAGCCGGAGCCGCCGTACGAATTATTTCCTGAGCTAAAGCCCTGGTTCTGCTCCCGCTGCATGTTCCCTTGAGGCTGGTTGTTTCCCGAGGGCCCGGACTGGTTCTGCTGGCTGGCCAGCATGCCCATCATGCCCCAGCTGCTCTGCAGCGCCGCCTGCGCGGCTGCCATCATGGCCGGATTGATGCTAAACGCCCCAAAGTTCATTCCACCCCCCATGTTGCTGCCCTGGTTGTTCCCCAGGCCTCCCCCCCCGCCTCTGTTGTTGCCAAACCCCCCCTGGTTCCCAAAGCCTCCCGGATTACCACCAAATCTTCCACCTCTTTCTAACTGCCTATTGCTATTGTGCTTAGGTTCAGCATTGGATATATGTACGCTGATTCCTTTAATGATCAAGTCCTCTCCACAAAGAGATTGGGCAACCTATAAAAAATAAGGGATTCATTAAATAGAGATTAGACTTTTTTCTTCCCCTAATACTAGTAGTGTCAAGACAATAATAATATTAAAAGCACACCCACACACACAGTTCTGAGCAGATAGTTAACCTGCAAAGGAAGCACATGCACACTTATTCCAAGTGATTTATTTTCTCGTTCAGCACTGCCATAAACTGCACTATAAAGACCCGTACGTACAACAGCATCTGAAGAGTGCAACCTTAGATGATTCAAGTAAATGAAACCAACCTACTACCACTGGAATTCTCAAGACAGTGGACAAGTGTTCCCATTTAATTCTGAAATAATGCTTCATCAAGCTACTGAAACAGCTTTAAAAAGTTATATATATACAAAGCTTATATATTTTAATACTTACCTGATCATCTGCAAATGTAACAAAAGCAAAAGCTCGGAAGGGTGTAGGAATGAAGACATCTACCACTTCTCCATACTGGGCAAAGAACTGCCGGAGCTCATCTGCAGTCATGTCCTCAGTGCAGCGCCCAACGAACACCTTTCTGCTACGCAAAGGTTCGTCGGGACTTTGCTGGATTGAGTTGGGGGGACGGAGGGGGAGGTATAATTAATGAATGAAAAGAAATAATCACAATTTTCTTCGAAAACAAAGTATGACCAAGCTACTTTATCATAAAGGCCTCTTTTATTCTAGCCTTTTCTGAGGACTGAAAGTTTAGAAATTGAAGAGTTTCTAAGTTTTAGACTTAGAAATTTATGTTCAGAGAACATTCTCGTACCCTGATACCAATGGAGAGGTGCAGCAGGGAAAAAGATGCAGGAGTAACAGCAGGAACAGTTACAAGCTATTCCAGAAGCAGAAGTATGTACTGCAAAATGGGACACAGCATTTTTCAGTACATACTGTGTCTGCTTATATATATGCAGCAAGTATACACACAGACAGAAGTTTGGGTTGGATTTCCACTTCAACCAGATATCCATTCAGATGTTGGTCAATTTGTCTATCTTGTCTGATTTATTCTCCATTATTTCTTGCAGACAGGTTACATGGAGATT